AATAATAATAATAATAATAATAATAATAATAATAATAATAATAATAATAATAAGTATTATATGATTGATACTGGAATAGGGTTGCAACGACGATGATGTTAAAGTTCGATTTAACATTTGATTTTACATTTAATTCGATTTTACGTTTGATTTAATCCTTGCCCACCATATAGCGTTTATCAATTTTTATCATTATTTTCGAAAATGTCACGCCGGTACAATTCCAACCCACTCATATGTTGAAGAATTTTTCAATTGTTTTCAACTGTTTCTTTTCGTTTCATTATTTTTCCGACTCTGTAAAATTGATCTCAATTTTCGACTTCGGCAAAATCGAACGTTAATCGAACGTCTTTGTGCGAAATAAAAACCGTTTAGAGTAATTGTAAGAAAAACAAATACAGGGTCTCCCAAAATTATGGTATTTCCGGGAAATGAGGGGTTCCCGAGGTCATTTGAAGTAACTTTTTCCTTAGCGAAATTGCAATCCGCGGCTTTGTTTATGAATTATTAACGAAAAACAGTGACCAATGGGAGGCTTGATCAGCAGGCGCGAGACAGCCGAGCCAATCAGCGGAACTGGGCTTCGACCGCTCGTTGGCTAGGCCGCTTCGCGCCAGCCGAGTTCGCCTCTCATTGGTCAGTGTTTTTCTTTAATAACTCGCGAACGATGCCTCGGAGAAAATTTTTGTAAAGGAGAAAGTTGCTTCGAATGACCTCAGGAATCCCGCATTTCCCGGAAGTACCATAATTGTGGGACACCCGGTATAATAAAATTGTTCTTCCTCTTTCAGTCATTATAATAATTTGTACGCAAAAAAGAAAGTTATTCGGAGATTCTCTCAATGTCTTGAGAGTTTTATATTTGACCTAGTCATTTTTGTAAGAAATGCATAAAATGTCGAAAAAATAATGAAACGAAAAAGAAAATTGAAAAAAATCGAAGCATTCTTTAACATACGAATGGGTTCGAATCGTACTGGCGTTTTAATTTTCGAAAATTATGATGAGCATCGACAAGCGTTATATTTTCTAAGTTCATCCTGAATATTTACCAAAAAGTTAAATTCGGAACCAAAGTTTCGTCGAGCCATCGAATCGTTTGAGAAATATCGACGAAGATTCCAAGAGCAGTTATCAGGTCGCTGTTGAAAGACAGCGATTCCACGATTCGTGTCGGTAGATCCAGAAGCGTAGAACATTCTATGGGATTTGGATCGCGAATCCAGCGATTAGTCGGACGTTAAACGGCGGACGATCTCGTAACGAGTCAAAGAGGAAGCAACAGGCGATCCGGTCGATCGAGGGAGGAGTGTCCGCGTTTACCCGAAACGTGCTCGCACGATTTACCGTATCGCAGAAAGAGCAATTACCGTGCACACCCCGCCGACATCGAATACCGTAAATTGCGTCGACCTTTTCAGTTTGCTTGCTGCGGCATAAACGGAAGCAGCAATTACGGTACCTCCTGGTGGCGGCTGCAGGAAGTGGGCCGAAGAGAATTAGTGGTGCCTCTCAGTTGCTGCACCCTGAACAACGCCAACGAGACCGACTCCTTCCTCAACCCCGAACCTGCCAATCTTACTCTCTGTCAGGCTTTGAACCCGGCCGAACACCAATACGCTCGGCACACCGCGGTACGTATTTTAATCAGGACGCCGTGATACCGAAAGAAACGCTTCGCGTACAACAGGATGGGCCTTGGGCTGTGTCTAGTTTATGTTGCACTGAAAATTAGATTTTTTAAATGTTTAGATATTAGTGGAATCCCAAGTAGAACTAGTTGGGAATTTTGTTTGACTGTTGTTCTATAACGTCGCTGCACGCTTCGTCTACTTTATATTGTATTAATTATTTGTGTGAAATCTTTTTTGTGTCACCGTCGAGGATTGTTACAATTATACCCGTGCAACTTTATGCAAAATAGAAATAGTCTTAATTATTTGCAAGATGTAGGAAGTACATGAACATTTATTTATTTTATTTATTTTTATTATTTTATTTTTGTTTTTGTTTTTGTTATTTATTTTTATTTATTTTCTTAATAATATTAGTGAGTCGACAGTGGTGCAACAATATCTTCAATTTGTTTAAATGATTTCGCTATTTTGCATTTGATTTACTCATTATTTTGCCATAAATGCATAAAATCCGCAATCTAGTCACTACTGTACATTTTTGTAATTGTAGTTGACATTATGATGCATTCGGTGATGTTAATGACACCTCTTGAACAGATCTTTGGCTCTTAAAATATTTACTCTTAGAGTCACGCGTGAAATTTACTTTCAATAAATTACAATCTGTTATATTGTCACGACTAAAGGACATGTTTAACCCTTATCTGGTATAACGATTTTCATGAAACTGACTGGTATGCATTGTGGTTAGGATGGGCCCTAAATAAAAAGCGCAGAAAATGGGTTAATCTAATACTAAATAAACGGCCCATTCTCGGCTGGCGTATGAAATAATAAAAACGTGGAGAATTGAAATTTTACTACAAAATTAAGTAGAAAAAATTACAGTGAGCCACTTAAACAACTATGTTTGGGTAAACTAGCTACAGTAAATACTCTCCAATTTTCCTTCAGCTTGTAAACAATAATGAACAATTTGGGAAGACGATTATTCGAGCTTTGCGTCAACAATTATCAGAACGAGATGCAAGGCTCGAATAATCGTATCTCCTCTTCCCAAATTGTCCATTTTTCTGTACAAGCTGAGCGCCAATTAGGGAGAATTTACTATATTTCTATTGGGTTGGCAACTAAGTAATTGCCGATTTCAGTTATAGATGTCTCTCACTCCCATTTTTATGATATCCGTAAATGTTATATTATAAAATTATTATTATTATGTTACTTTTTATTATCCGTGAATATTAACAACTGGACAAATTGAATGCAGCGGTCAAGGAAAAGCGACCAGAATTGTATTTATTTAGAATTGGTCAATCGTAAAGGTGTCATTTTCCAGCAGGACAATGCTAGGCCGCACACGTCTTTGTCCACTCGGCAAAAATTGATGGATATTGGTTGGGAATTGATGTTACACCCACCATATAGTCCTGATCTCGCGCCATCGGATTACCACTTATTTCTACCCCTGGACAACTCCCTTCGTAACTCAGTTTTTGGCCGAAAAGGATCAGACTTTCTACGAGCGTGGAATTTTCAAGTTGTCAGAGAGACGGCAAAAGGTCATCGAACAAAATGGAAAATTCATTACAGATTATACTTCGTTCCAAGTAAAAAAATATTTTTTATTTCATTGAACAAATCGGCAATTACTTAGTTGCCAACCCAAATAGAAAGATCGAATTTATCACAGTGCGTGACGTTAGAACTCTTTCGCATCCGAAATATCCTAATCAAATTTAGTTTGTTCGAATATATTAAGAATAATTAAGTTAAATTGTTAACTTAATTTTGAAAATTCATTTTATACTAATACTAATATACTAATTGTAGTATCGCCCACATGTGACAGACACGGCGCGCGACGTGTTAACAATTTTAGGCACACGATTTTAAAGAGAATAAAGATCCAACGTGCTCAGAATATGAGAGATAACAAAAGAATCTAAGCGACCTATTTAATTCTAGTTCGAAACATTCGAAAGATCTTTTACTAGAAGAATGCATAGTATCAGTGAGTTTCACTTACGTTTGATGTCTTATTTTGAAGTTTCTCAATAACCGAAGTCGAAATTATCGTACCCGCTCGAATTTATTCGTTTGTTGAATTTAACCCTTTGCACGCGAAGCCACTTTAACTGTAAATCTGAAATAATTTTTCTGACCTACGCTGTCTCTATTTTCTAGGACAGAGCGCATTTTACGCGTGTGAAATTGAGTCTTGTGACTTATACAACAGTTACACTTTTAACAATTTTTCAAATGTAAATTTTGTTGATGTAAGAATTATTTTGCAATGTGGCATAAACATTTTTTAGCGGTGCCTCGGAGTCACCACTCGAGCGCAAAGGGTCAACACCAGAACTACCGACGACTGACGTACAGTCTTCTTCTACTAGAGAGGTCAAAATGATTTGTTTCTTAAATTAATAAGTTATCTAAGAAAAGACAGCAATTTTTACGTTTTTATATATTTTCCCACTTTATGAGCGAAAATTGAACATACACCGAATAAAAATAATAACATGACAACAATAATTTTCAAAGTAATTACGCTTAATCTTGTATATGGTAAGAGTACAATTTTCTGTCTTGTAAGGTATTGTCGAGAAGCGATCTTGCTAGTTTAGGTAATTCTCTCGTATTTTGTCTAATGGTGCCAACTAAGGAAGTTCTTTTAGTTAGCAGTTTTGTTGCTAATGATAATCTTCTAAAGAAATTATCTGTTGTCACTGTTCCCCCGCAACCAATATATGATTCCATAAGTTTTAGAACGACAAATTCACCCAATGGTACGGATAATCTCATTTCGTTTTTTTCTAACTAGGGAAAAAAAAGAAAACTGTTTTACAAAATCAATTATTTGGATATTTTAAAAAAAGTCATACAAAATTACAAGAAGCAAAATGTACTGAAATGAATAATGATTATAAGAAATGCAAATCAAGTCATTTTGACCCCCCCCCCC